CCAGATATGCAAACACATTGATATATAAAACATCATCTCATCTGCTAGGCTCTAGGTTGAGAGGGAAATGATGCCATCCATCTGCGTCTATGACTTATTTTGATCAACATGCCATGGATAGCATTCCATGGGAAGGAATAGATTTTCCTGATTAAAAACGTGAATGTCTGCAGTGTTTCTTTTTGAATGGCTATGACATCATTTAACCATCACCCCACTCCCTGTTGTGGACTTTTCAACCCTTTGTTATAACTGACAACACTATCACAGATAGGCTTGGTGAACCTTGAATCTTTGAGCATATCGTAACTTCCTTGGCAGTAAGTAGTGAAAGTACTGACGTCCTATGCATGGGTGGTTTTCAGGGTTTTTAGTTTTTTAGATGTAATGCCCAACAACTTTCTGGGTATCCCAACAGGGATCACATTCATGATTGTTTTGGGCTTCTGTTAATTCTTTCATGATTCCTTCCAGTCAACATTGTTGTAGTGGTGGCCAGCCTTCCAGTGGCTCTTGGCTTCTGTTATTCACACCCTTCAGTCAGCCCTCCCATATTATCTCAGAAGTGATCAATATACCCAGTGGAATATGGCAGATAGGATGGTGTGTGACTTCCAAGTAAGTCATAAAAGAGATGGTTGTGCTTTCTGCCATTCTTATTTGTTCTTTAGCGCTTTATATGTCCTGGACTGTGTAAAAGGTCCTAGAATGCATCTGCCTCTCTTCTGTTTGCTTGCCATACTGTGAGCTGCCACATGGAGAAACAGAGGTGACAAAGAACTGGGACCTCCTGCCCACTGAGAATTCAAGACCATCTGAACAGGATGAGACTGAGAGGATTTCTTGGAAACAAGACTTTTCGGGGAATCAGTTCCTCCAGCCCCAGTCAAGCCTTAGGATAATTGCAATCCTGGCTGCAACCCCTGAGCTAGCACTACCTAGTTAAGCTGCTCCCAGATGTCTTGCCCTCTGAAACTGCGTGAGATACAGCTTGTTGTTTAAGCTGCCAAGTTTGGAGGGAGGGTAATTTTGTTCCACAGCAATAACTGATAGGTCAAGGTTTAAAACATTTTATGAGAATCAACTGCGTGATAAAATGATATTTTTACTATTGGGGGAAAACTAAATTGCTCGGTAAATGGTATACATGGTCTGGGAACAATTGGGACAATAGCAACCCTAGGGGAGAAGGCGGAAGACTGTGTGTGCGCACGTGTGTGTGTGTGTGTGTGTGTGTGTGTGTGTGTGTGGTGTATCTAGACCCCAGATGTAAAGCAAATGCAGGTGGAAACTGAAAAAAAAAAAAGCCTGATCAAAAGCAATGCTGGGGGCTGTGATCTTAAAAACCTCAATGTCAAAGAAATAGGAAATAAGGGTAGCAGAAAATACCCTCATAAAGGCACTAAAGGTAACCTGACATGTCAGTGTAAACAAAATATGCAAGATCTCTGCTCCTAGGGAGCTAGCTGGAAAAACAGCATTAAAGATACCAGTAACTAGACTGACAAGTGTCCAAAATGCAGCAATGGTGAAGAAGCCATGAAAGACCCAAGAGGTGACCATTACCTGGAGGTGCAGCCCAACTTGCTGGAGGAAGCCCCGTTGCCAAGACAACATGAAGGAGGACTAGGCCAGGGTTCAAGGGAGGTATAAGCTGAAGGCCAAGAACACTGAGTAGGGGTGAGCCTTCTGTAATTGCAAACCTGAATCTCTTCTGGCAGATGTGTGGACTTTTAAATATATATGTAGCTGGTAATTATTTAACTGGAAAACTTTTATCCTCAACCCTAACATGTGGATCGCTCCAAATCCCAAGAAGTTATAGACACAAACACCTATACTCCTTTGTCAGGGAACAAGCAAACAGCTATAGGATGGCTATGGTCCAGCCCCCACATTTTCTTGTCCCAGAACCCATTCTGCAGAAGCAGCCCCTATTCAAGACATACTATTCTCATAGTTGAGGGAAATAAATGAAATTAGTGAAATGAACTACCCATGTACAAAGTTTCTGCTCTTAAGTGGTCTACTTACATCCCACTGCCTAAAGTCAGTTTCAGGGCCAAGTGAAACAATGGGGTGAGCCATAGATTTTGCCTTCAGAGGGGAACTGCAAGTCCCATGCAAGGGAGGGGATGTGGACCCTTTTATTGGGAATGGAAGAGCCAATGATGGGCAACAGGAAGGTAACCCACCACAGACTTAAATGCTATGGAGAAAGCTAAAGCAGGGAGGGAGAGCCACAGGGGTCGGGTGTGAGTATAATGGCCATGGGGGAGAAGATTTCACAGGGAAACTGACAAACTTAAAGTTTTAGTGTATTTATGTGTATTATGATCACAATGATGTTTTCAAAAGATCTTTTTCTTTGTCTTCTTGGGCACCGATTTTTGCCAGTTGCCATTTCAGTTAGGCTGTCCATGTGACAGAGGTTCAACCAATGTAATGGGAACAGAAGTGATATGGCTTGTCCCCTGCCACCTGGAATCCAAGGACGCCGACTGTCGAGGGAATGTGGAAGGAGCCTGGGCCCCAGAATCACTATCTACTTTCGTTGTGAGCAAGGAAGAAATGAATCTGGTCATTGAGGTTATTCAGCTGTCGTCCTGAACTTTTAACCTGGGAGACTTGAAGAGAGGGGTAATACCAGGTCTATCTAGGATGTGGATTCTGACCCCCTAATAGTAAAAGCAGTGAGTCACCAGCCAGGGGTGTGAACTTCAATGAGACAAGATATGTTGTAGGCACTGGAATTTTATATTATGTTCATACAACCGTAAGGAACTAAAGTTTTGACACAAAGGACGTAGGATTTAGCTTCTTACTGATCCCCTGGGGTCTCATTTAAGTTCCCTTTAAGAGATAAGCCTAGAAATCTATTTACTGAAAGAATGAGATCAAAATTTAAATTTCAGGCAGTCCCCAAGGTAGGAACTAGATCTATTCCTAAGTGTCTTTAAGTAGGATTTATGTGTATGTCAGAAGATGTGTATTTGGCTCTTATTTAGCTCTATTTAGTCAGGCAAGCCTAATACACCCCATATAGGGTCACGGTGAGATAGACTCAAGCAACTTGATAGCGGCAAGTTTAAAAGCTGCTAGTGCACTCAGTAGAGAGCCCTGGTAGTGTAATGCTTATGTGTTGGGCTGCCAACTGCAAGGTCCACATTTCGAAACCACCAGCTGCTGAGGGAGAAGTACAGGGCCTTCTACTCCTATATACTTATTGGTACAGTTCTACTGTGCCCTATAGACACCTTAGGAGTCAGCACCGACTCAATGAAAGAGTTTGGGTTTGGCTTTGAAGTGCAATTTAGGGTCCCGGGTGGCGTAGTGGGTAAATTTGGGGGCTGGTAACCACTAAGTTAGCAGTTCAAAACCAGCAGCTGCCCCTATAAAGAAAGACATGACTTTATAGTCCTGTAGAGTTATGGTCTACCCTGTCCTAGAGAGTGGCTATTGTTGGAATTGATTTGGCAGGGAGGTGGGGTGTTTTTGTGTTTGCTTTTTTTTTTTTGAGTGAAACTGCAGCAAATCAAGGTGTGATGAATAATTTGTTTTGAGTAGGGGTTAGTTCAGTCTTTCAAAGGGAGGGCAAATTTATATAACATTAAAGAACAAGTACCAGTGTCCATCTAAAACCACAAGCTTAGTAGAGCTTTTCATTATAAGAAACTCACACAATAAAAAAATTTTTTTCATGAAAAAAAGAGTATGTGTGGAGACTGATTATGGAAGCAATTGTACAATTCTGTTTGACGTGAATGAACTATGGAACGGTAGATGCATATTAACTCTCAATTAATATTTTTAAAGCCATCAATCAAGGAATGGGTTTTGGGCTTGCACTAAATCCTAGCTCCAACTTTAGCTCTTACATCATGACCCTGCTCGATACTAGTCTTCAAGAAAGCAGCACAGAAGATACGGGTGCTATAGCAAAATGTGACGAAGATATTAGACGGTGCCCAGCTATCAGATAAAATAGCATCTGGGGTCTTAAAGGCTTGTCTCCAAACAAGCAGCCATCTAAATGACATGTCAACTAAGTCCACAGGGAAAATGCAAACCATCATCAGTCACCGAAGAACTGTGAAGCATAGAATCCAAACTCCAAGGAGGGATTAGTATCAGAGCCTAAATTCTGAGAACCCGGCTTGCAGAAGGCTATGGATGACAGTGGGAGCCTGAGATTTGTTTGTGGGAACTACATAGGAAATAAGCCTCCGGTGAACTCCCTCTATTCACGATTGAGGGATGGAAGGAAAGTAGTTACTAAACAGAGGGCACTGAAAAGACAAGTATACAAGATCAAAGGCATAAATCTGACTTGAACAATTCAAACTTTGTCAGTTGATTCCCCCTCGGATTCATGCTGGACCTGACCTGGCTGTCAACATTTTCCGTGTTTTTGTTTTGTTCATATAGGGTATACTTCAGAGGTGTTATGTCACTGGAGGTCACTTTCTTGAAGGTGTGCTATATGGTTTTCTGTGTTTTGGTATATGAAACCCAGGATTGATGAATCTATAGGGACAGCAAGTAGAATAGGGGGTGGGAAGCAGTACAGTGGGGAGGGGACTGTAAAAGGGAGATGATCTCAAGGACTCCATGAAGAAAAATGTTTGGAAATGGATTGTGGTAGCAAATGCATAATTCTGCTTGACGTGACCGAGCTATGGGAAGGATATGTACTGACTCCCAGTTAATCGTAAATTTTTAAAAACGAAAAAATTCCTACACTAAACCCAGTACCCAAGTTGATTCCATTTGAACATTTTGGTGCAGAACCAGAAAGGAAACTACCACTGTCAGGGAGCTGATTCCAATTCACAGGAAGCCAACAGGACCAAGGAGCAAGAACTGCCCCCGAGGCTTTCTGAGACTGCCCCGTCTCTCCCCTCCGGAGAGGGAGGTGGGTTCGCCGGCCCACACTCAACCCACTGTGACCCCGGGGCCCCTTAATGCTGTGACATAAAATCTGAGGCTTTGACATTAACTGTGTTTGATTAACTTTATTGTGATTAAAAATCTGAAAACAGCAAAATATATTTGTATAAGCACCTGAGGAATGTTCAAGTAGGCATTAAATAGGCATACAATTGGAATAAAGACTAACTTTAAGTTAGACTCTTATTTTAGAAAACATAAAGGATATTGTAGTGTTGAATTTTCATTTGCATATAAAGTACATTTGGTTTTCTGAAAAGAAAATGTACATTCTTGTACATTGTATTGATACTTATGGCTGATATTTCTAGCATTCACTCTTATAAATATGATATTAACCATTAATATAAACTAATAATAATGTAATAAAGTAACAGCAATGTGATGATAAAATAATAACAATGAACATAGTTCTTTTGTAAATTGTAATTCTTCAAAGAAAGCCCGAAAAGATGATTTATAACAAAAGCATTCAAAATTTAGGGGAAAATTGCCTCAGAACTAAAAAGTGAACAAGAAACACTGCACAGAATGAGAACTTTCCTGTATGAAAACAATCTACTGAATGTTTTGTATCCCCTGAGAGTTAAGCTGAGAGGTACTGATGCTAGCAAACGATGCACATTTTTACCTTTTTGAAAAAATATATAAGAGAACATAAAACATGACAGAACATTTTCAATTAAGGCAGATCTTGAAAATGCTCTCTGCTGTTCTTCAGCGCCCCCTATCTGCCACGCTGGGCTCTAGGTGTTTTAAGACACAGTGGCTCTTGCAATTCTCGCAGTTTCGTGTGGAAACTGAAGCATGGGCAGATGAAGTAGTGTACTCCTAGCTGCTGGCTCATGAGTAGCAGAGCCTGGATTTGAACCCCACACTACCTTCAGAGGCTGTGCTCCAACTAGCAGACTGTACTATTGTAGGCAGGATGCAAATATTGCTTTACAGGATTTCTTTTACATCTAACTAAAGCTATAGTGCATCCCTCTGTGTCAGTGCAAAGTAACATTTTAAGTTCAAAAAGGAAAATTTTACTTGTATGTAAAAGGCATAGAATAAAATGTTAATATAGTAAAATATTATATGAGGAATAGACACATGTAATAAATATATAGATATATATTTTTAATTTGGACATTGGCATTGTCATGTAAGATACGTATCATAAACAAATGTCCAAGTTCCCCAACGTAGGGGATGTTTTAAATGTATAGGTATGTATTGAAAAAAACATAGACTCTATCTAATCCACTCATGTAGTATAAGATCCTCTACATAAAATGACTCTATCTTATAATTATCAAAAACTGGTAAGAACACATCATGGAAATTTAAAGGTTTCTGATTTTTAAAATCTTTAAAGTGTTTCTTTAAATTTAAATGAAATTTGTTTTAAATGGGAAATAAATACAACATATAGAGACGTAATAATAGGGAAAAATCATTTCTATGGCTATCTAAGGCAAAATGGCAGGACAGGAGCAGAACGCTGCAGTATAACAGATAAACTATTCAAGGAAGAGAGGATATCTATAGTCGCACCTTTAAATTTTCTTCTAAGAAAAAAAATCTCATGGCTTTAATTATAGAAGTTTTCTATCCCTGACATTTCCCTTTGGGGATTTAGTTATTTTGGCTCTCTACAAAAAGATGGTTTTATATATATAACGATATATCAAGATGAACCAAAATCAAACTTGTTTGGTACATGGAGTATATATATATGTAAACTGAACAACTGCAAATAATAAAAAGGTACAAATAATAAACTGACCATTTGACTATTTCAGCACTAACACATGGTTTTTAACAAAGTAGACTGGATTGTAAAGGTAGTTCTAGAATTCTGAATATAACCTATTAAAGGAACCTTAGCACAGCAAAAACTGCTTAGGCAGCAAAAGGATTTCACTCTAAGGTAAACCCAAAACCAATCCAGTCTACATTTACATAGTGCCTCAGTGGTTGAGGTAATTGTCTTGCTTAAGCCTCTCAATGTAGTAGCAGAGCTTCACGGCTGTCCCCAGCTTCAGCCCCATGTACTTCATCATCGTGTCACTCTTCAGGAGCAGCAGAGCCCTCCCATCGATCTCCTAAAGAGAGACCAAAATGACAAGAATGAACAATGCTTTCTTATCAGAAATCATTTCTTTCCGAGAGTATGCCAAACAAATGAGAGTACAGCTGGTGGACGGCTCCTTCTTGTTCTTCACACCAAGGATGGACCAGGGAGTGTGGGCAGAATACTGCATCGGTCCTTACACAGGGATTCCTGACAACCCAGAGAGGAGCAATCATATGGTAAGAACCTTGAGGATGGACCTTGAGTATGAAGGGGCTTCAAAAAGCTTGTGGAAAACAGAATGAAAAAATAGTTCTTTTGACCACCAAGTTTTGGAAGACCCATTTAAAGAACACAGGTGACCCTTAGCCTTTAAGGGTCATGCTTTGGGTGAAATTACCTTTGTTACATATGGGAAAATCCACCTTATCAGTACCAACTGAAATAGATTGATTCTAAGGCATTACCAGAGAAAACTGACAAAAAGATACATTACATGTTGTATGAAGACATCGCTCAAGGTGAGGGCTATCTGAGGATCGACTTTTCTGATATAACGTATCACATCCTCCACAGTCCAGATCGAAGGATCCTTACCATAGGTTTGGTTAGGGTCACTAAAGTCAGATTTCGCTGGTGAATTTGCAACTTCAATGGGAGAAACAGAAAAAAAACAAATCTTACTTGACCTGATAGTTATTCTGTCTGAAATAAGAGATGTTAAGTAGAAAGTCATGGTTTTCATTTATGAACCTTTAGTTACGTAACCCCGTGAGAACCCAAAACAACCATGAGAAAAATCAAGGGCAAGCCAAAATAACAGTGGCTACCCGAGAGCTTCCGTCTGACCTTCCCCTAAGAGAGCAGCTTTAGAAGTTACTGTAAAGCTTCAAAGATCATGAAACCAAAGGCAAATGTCGTGAAGGGTCTGCTACTTGGGTTAAATTAGGCTGATTTAACCAAGCCAATTACTCTTTTGAAACATTTCAATGAATTTCTCAAAACCAAAATCTCTTTTTTCTGTTTGTCTATATTAGGTGTATTGATTTGCTACACACACACTCCCTCAAACATACAACCATTTAAACATTTTCATTTTCATGAATGACTTTTAATAACCCTAGTATCTTTAGGAACCAAATTCATTCTTTTACCAAATGTCGATTGAATATAAATGTTTTTATCATCATCTTACTCTCAAATACTCTCATAGTCTAAAATGCTTATTGACAAATTGAAGAAAACACATTATTTTCTGCTTACCTAGAGTCAGAAGTTAGTTTGACATTACTTTTAGTACCTCTTTTAAAGCTGAAATGCACAGTAATACTCTGGTTGAAGATTCACTGAGTGAATAAACAGTTTAAGAAAGAAATCACCCAGGAAAACAAGGTAAGTGCTCACAGTTGTAGCTCTGTTGGTCACTAACATCCCCTGGAATTTCTTTGTGTCTACATAAATATTCATTTATTCAACTGGAGCACTGGACTCCCTGAAGTTAGTGTATAATAACAGAAATGGTTCTAATCAAGGGACACAACTTGATCCTTTTGTTTTGTGTGTGTGAATTAGCCAATCGTTTGCCCTTCCTTTTGTATCACCAACCACTGGTCATTTCAGAAGCATTTTGAGTATGTACCCAGGGAAAGTAAGCCTTGTTTGCATACATAGTGAGTTAAGATGTGCTAACCTCAAGGTCAGCAGTTCAAACTACCAGGTACTACTCCCCCAGGAGAAAGATGTGGCTTTCTGGCTGCTGGAAAGGTTTACAGCCTCAGACACCCAAAGGGACAGTTTTGCTACTCTTTCCATTAGGGTCACTATGAGTAGTAATTGATCGATCCGTTGATGTGAAGAATTTATTACTAAAATACAACTGCCCTTCCACTTGTCAAAAAATAAAAATGTTGGTCACATCCACCAAGAAATTTTGCTTGGCTGTATCAACTCCAGTGAAAATGGTGCTTGGTGTGGACTGTGCCGTGGCTACAGCAATCTGGCAAACTAGACAGAACCACCACCTGCTTTCAGGCACCACACACTAATACATTTGAACCACTGAATTGTATGGTGCATGAACCATATTGTCAATAAAACGATTCATAAAAAAAGTTAATTGCAACACTAACTAGACCTCTAAATTAACATATCTTTGTGAGATTAATGGCTTCTCTCATCAGAGTCTGGTATAGTTATGCCTTGCATAGTCTATGTATCTAGTTTTAATAATTATTGCAGACAAATTTATTTGAAACTATGATTTCTGGTGCATAACTCTACTTTTATGTTAACAATTCAATGACTACAAGGTTTTCTATTTTTAGTTGAATTGCTCCCAACCCCAACCAGCACCTGAATACAAACCAGCCCTCAACATGGAGCAGTAAAACCTCCTCTGGCTTGCTGAAGAATATAGGTCAAACAATGCTACTTGTAATGTGCATCATTTTAAACTCACCAAAATTGGAAATGCATAGAGTATGATGGCCGGTGTTTGTATTCTCCATGATATCAGAGTTGCTTTGCTGGCTACAGTCGTCTTGGGGTAACATTGAGTTATCATCACTCAGGGAGACTGTAGGCCGAGTAGGCGAGAAGATATGGCTGCTGTCATGTGCCCTCGGGCTGGGAAAGCAGGGCCTGAAGGAAGGACCAGCATCATCTGGCATAAAAAATGAACCATAGGACTGTACGGAGTAGACAGAGCCAGGCGGTGAATTCTGAAGGAACCCTTGATCCGGCATAGCAGAGACAGGCTGCTCTATTTCAACAGGTGCATCCAACTGAAATGCTTCACCTACAAAGGTGGGCTGGGGATCATTTCTTTTGCCTGCCCTTGGTAAAGCTAGGCCATGACTTTCAGGGTGGTTGAATACAGCACGAGCCCCCTTCTTCTTCATTTTCTGTCGTTTTATTTTTTTAGAAATGCGGTGATTATACTTTTTGTATACATATCCATATGGTTTCTGATAGAATTAAGGGAAAAATGAAACAAAATAGTTAATGAATTCCAGTCGTTGATTTTCATCCAGTACTGCTGTGTGATATTAAAGAAAAAAGTACTATGTTGATTATGTGCTTTATTGTTCATCTTATATAACTCTATAATTGTATTCTGTAACTGTGGGTATAAAATAGTCCTTGTAATACATTTATCAAACCTAAACTTCAGCATTCTTCTCAGAGTTATTAGTTCTTTATCACTTCTAATTGATTGGCACATTTAGGACCTAAAGGATTATCATAGTTGTGAAAATATTTTTATAATACTTACCCGATTTTGCCATAATGGTTTTACACGATGACGCTGGATTTTTGAAACTTTTCCATGAATCACATCAAATTTCTTATCCAGGTTTTGAATAGCATCATGTATGACCTATTATAATATAAGCTATTTTAGTATTTTCTATTTCAAAAGAAAAGCAACATAGTGAAATACCATCAAGCCACATTCTATTTATTTATTTTAGTTAATAGTTTTATTGGGAGTCTCTTACAAATCTTACAACAAGCCATCAATCAATTGCATTAAGCACATTTGTACATATGTTGCCATCAACATTTCCAAAACATTTTCTACTTAAGCCCTTGGTATCATCTCCTCTTGTTTCCCCCTCCCTCATCCCATTCTCTCACCCTCGTGGATCCTTGATGGGTTATGTATTATTTCATATCTTACACCGTCCGTTGTCTCCCTTCACCCATATTTCTGTTATTCTCCCCCCCCCAGGGGGGGGGGGCAGGGGCTATATATCCAACCTTATGATGGGATCCCTCTTTTGCCTCCTCCCCTCCCCCATTCCCCTACCCCCATGATATCCCTACTCCCACTACTGTTCTTGAAGGGTTTATCTGTCCTGAATGTCATATGTCAAGAGTTCTTATCTGTACCAATGTGTGTACTCTGGTCTAGCGGAATTTGTAAGGTAGAAGTGGGTCATGGTAGTGGGGGGTGAGGGGCATTCAGGAACTAAGGAATGATGTGTGTTTCATTGGTGCTGTACTGCACTCTGGATGAATCATCCCTTCCTTGTAATCCTTCTGTGGGGATGTCCAATTGTCTACAGATGGGCTTTGGGTCTCCGCTCCAACCCCCTCATTCACATTGACAAAATTGTTTGTTTTGGATCTTTTGATACCTGATCCCATTGACACTTCTTGATAACACAGGCTGGTGTGCTTGTTCCATGTGAATCAAGACACATTTTAACTGCTAGAAAGGAAGTGATCAAGCCATCAGATATTTCTTGTCTGTTACTTGATGCCTGAGTGGCTGAGATCAGGAGACGCCCCCCTTCTAGTAAATTACTCTCTTTCCCATAGGCACTGACAGGAGCTTGAATTCTGGAAAGTAAGTATATCACAATCTGTGTGACCTATCAAATTTATCATGGGATCCTTTCACATCACAGAGGTTGTAGTTTTAGGAAAGGAATTGTTTCATCTGCTCCAAGGCCAAAGAGCTTCCCACCATAAATACTGTGTAAACTACCAGACAGTGAGTATTCAGATGTAGGGAGTACACAAAACCAAATAAAACAGTTCTGACTTCAAAGTAGTTTACAATCTTGCAAACAACAATTAACCTTACAAACCCTTTAAGTCCATGCCCCTTGTATGCTAATGGAGTGTGAGACTAAAAATTCAAGTCTTCTTTGAAAGCACAAGAGATTTCATTCCCCCCATACCAGCTACGTGGACAACTGCCCCTCCCCCCAGAAGAATTTACTTTTGAGGACAGCACTGAAGCTGCAGCTCAGGGAGAGGGACATGTCTGATCAGAGCACACGGGAGCAAATGAATGGGGAGGAAGACAGCATGGAGCACATCCTGGCCCACCAGGCCTGGAGGATGATATCCCTGTTCCGAACAGCCAATGCACAGAGTGGACCATATGGCTGCTCCCACCATGAGACA